GGAGCATACTGTCGCATTGTGGGGATTGCAACCAATGTCACAAAACAATGTATGTATGAATTTTTGAATTAAAAATTACCTTGAGCTGTAAACTTTCACCTAGAGCTCAATCAATAAATCAATAAAAATTTTTAAAAAAAGATTGCAAATCTTAAACAAAGTAAACATAAAAAACTTCTAGAGAATAACAAACTTCTAAGACATGACTGTGTAACAGACATGTAACATGAGCTGGGCAGTTCTACTCTGTCGTACAGGGTCACTATGAGTCAGAACCGACTGGAAGGCACCTAACAACATGTATGTTGTTTTAAATTTTCTACTAACTACATTTTAAAAAAATCAAAAAAAAAATGAAATAAATTTGAATAATATATTTAACCCAAATAGGTCCCTGGGTGGCATACACGTTCTGTGCTCAACTACTAACCTGAAGGTTGGCGACTCACACCCACCTAGTGCCCCTGCAGAAGAACGGCCTGGCAACCTGCTCTTGTAAAGATTACAACCAAGAAAACCCTATGGAGCAGTTTTACTCCATCACATGGGGTCACCTTGGGTCAGAATCTACTCAACCGTCTTGAGTTTTTTTATTTAATGCAGTATATCCAAAATATTTTAATTTCAAAATGTAATCAATATAAAACATCACTAATGAGACATTTTATTCTCTACTTTTGTACCAAGTCTTTGAAATTTAGCATGTATGTTACACTTACAGCACATCTCAGTTATGACTAGCCACATTTGAGGTGTTCAGTGGTCCAATGGTCTCATGTGGCTTAAATGGCTGTTATATTGGACAGTGCAGTTCTAGGGTGTCCTCTTCATTTTCTTCTATCCTCTCTCTAGCCTTACACACCCTTAGTTATAGCTCAACTCCCTCTTCTCTAACACAGTCCTAAAACTGATGTTTTTGGATGATTGGGAATTGTTGGGTGTTCGCATGTAAATGGGACATCTCTAGCTTTAATAGTCACTTCTTTGCTTATAGCTTACATTCCGGGCATTTGTTTTCATTACTATGTCTATATGACATTAGTAATATTTGGTAGAGGCAAGGCCAACTCACACATTAGATAATATATGTGTATAATAATTTAAACATTGTCTGATAAAAGCCCACCATTTGTTCCATGTTTATTTGCTTTTCTGCTTTTATTTAAAAACCTTGACTATGACTTTGAACCCCTACCGTCTCACCCTGGCTCTGCGTTACTGACCATTTGACTTTAGGGATGTCGCTTAGGTTGTTTTACATTTTTTTAACGGAGATAATAATTCCTGGCCATCTTTATTTACAGGGTTATTATAATAATTAAATGAGTTAATGAATTTAAACTGGCTTTGAACCCTCTGAAATAGTAGATTTATTTAGGCTATTATTACGGTAGTTGTAGACATCCTGGTGGTTTTGGTTTCCATTTTGGACTTACAACACAGGGTAGGAACACCACACCTTCCATTTTGGGAATTTAGTTTCGTCATTTTATTGTATGTAGTTAGAATAGTACCGTCACGGAGTGTTAATACGACTATCAGAACCAGAGACATGACTGAAGAGAAATGCATTGTGCTTTCTTACTGGATGATGATCTTTAATTTACATTTTAATTCGAAAACTTGATAGAGATTCATGGCCCTTGGTTTGTCAGCTTCTTAAATTAGACAGCATCACTGACATCCCAGAGTCTGCAAATAATGAAAATTAAAGCTCAAGAAATTATAATGACTGAATTTGATAAAGATTTTGCTCCCTCTTTTTTTTTAATTTCCACGCAACTCATAGAATGACCTCAGTTTGCTTTCTCTAAGTGTAGAGTTCATTCGGGAAGCTGGAATATAGAAATTCAAATGCCTTTTTGATTTACTGGGGAACAAGAGCAGTTGTTTTCAGCGAACTGGAAAACCCACCTATTACTCAACATTCTCTGCCTGAGATATGGGCCACAGTTTTTCCAAACTCTGGATTTTATTACTGCATTTAATGAAGGAGCCCTGGTTAAGAGCTCGACTGCTAACCAAAAGGTCGGCAGTTCAAATCCACCAGCCACTTCTTGGAAACCCAATGAGGCAGTTCTACTCTGTGCTATAGGGTCGCTGTGAGTCGGAACCAACTCGACGGCAATGGGTTTTTTCATTTAATGAAAAATATCTGGAAGTTAGTGATTGAGTTGTCCTAGGAGAAGAGCAAATTGCACACCTTGATAAGGGATGGTGAGTTTTTTTTTTTTTGGAAAACAGTAAATTTTCAGCTGTCAAGTTGGAAACCCCTCTGGAGACTTGATACTTTGTTTCCCAGGAAGGGCCAGCAGGGTTAAGTTATCTGGAAAGTGAAAAGTTATCTGGAGCAGTAATTATAATGGTAAAGTTTCATGTTGTCACAACTGAAGTATTTTATGCGCAAGAAAGGGCAAGAAATATAAAATTAAAAAAGAGTCTCTTGGGTAGAATTTATGACATAAGAAAATTAAAAAGAAATTGTAACTCCAAGAGACCCAGTCACGAAAATTATAAAAATGCATGATTTAATGGGAATTAGAAAATAGCAATTCTTCAAGTACCTCTGAGTTGAAGTTTAAGAAATTTGGGGTTAAAAATCTATTCTTTATTTTTAAAAAAAGACAAGATTTTCTGCATCTATTATTCAGACTCTAATTTAGGAGTATGTGATGGGGGCTGGGAACGTACGGGTTTTCACAGTTAACCAGGCTAGAGAGTTGGGGAAGACTGCATTAAGCAATTATACACAAATGGCTATATTTTGCACATATTGGCATATGCTTTTATTTGAGATATTTTGACACTTCGCACATAACAGAAATACTGGAAAGAACTGTTAGACTAGAGGAACTTAAAAACTCCAGGGATTTTCTGTAAGTGTCTTTGGGGATCGTCTTTTGTTTAAAAAAAGGCAGAGTCTTGAGTTTGCAACTGGAGCCATCTAAAAATTGCAGGATAAACTCAGCCTGAACTGGTGTCTTTCGTATGTACGCTCTCTTACTTAGGCCAAAGACGCTCAGTCCTTGGGGAATATGAAAGGAGGCATGCAGTGAAATAATGGAAATATTTTACAATCGAATTTTCAAATATAGAGGTTTAATAATTTTACATAATATAGTAACATGCATATTTCGTATGTATATTTTGTGCTATTCCGAGTGTGGCTGGGTTTTAGCAGTATCAGGATCACCGGGGAGCTTATTAAAAATGCAGACTCTCAAGCCCATTGTAGACCTTCTGAGTCAGAATCTGTAATTCAGCGATAGCCTTGTGCTGTTGTATGTGGTCTTTACGGAAGCAGATCACCAGGTCTTTTCTCCCTCGGAGGCGCTGGGTGCGTTCGAACTGTTAACCTTTGAATTAGCAGCTGATTGCTTAACCGTGGCACCCCCAGTAACCTTAAACCAAAAACCCGTTGCCGTTCAGTGGATTCTGACTCATAGTGACCCTACAGGACAGAGAAGAACTGCTCTATAGGGTTTCCAAGGAGCGGCTGGTAGGTTCGAACTGCCAACTTTTTGGTTAGCAGCCGAATGCTTGACCACTGCACCACCAGGTGATTCAAATGTGTGTTAATGTTTAGGAAGGTCTAGTACTGAGCGTGTTGAGGGAAACTGGTCTCTTCATTACTGAACTAGTCTAGGAGAATCTTACTCATGTATCAACTCTGTTAGTCTAGTTTCAAATTTAGATTACCTTCAGCCAAAACAATTTATCCCTACATTCTCTGATATTGTTACCCAAAATTCTCATACAAGATCAGCTTCTTCACTTTCTTTAACATCTTTCAGAGCCTACTATATGCCAGGCATTTAATCCTCATAAAAATGCTATTGTCCGGTTGTGAAAATGTAGCCAAGTTGACAGAGCTAGTAAATGCTTCAGCCAGAACCTGACCCAGGCAGTGTGGCTCCCACCATATGGCAACTGCTCAGTCCTACGATGTTCAGGTCTCCAATACCAGGGCAAAGCCCCAGGGAAAAAAGCTATTTGATGTTGGATATAACGTGCAGATTATCAAACCACTGTAGTGATGGTTCCATAGAGGGAGGTACTTAACTGTTTGTTCCTAAGCCAAGGATGAAAATAACTGCTGACATTTAAGTGAAGTATTTAATATCCTCTTGTACAGTCATACTTGTCGATCTCACAATAGTATAATGAAGCTGTATTAGTGTTTCAATATGCTAATCGAGTCTATTTTAAAAGAAGATATATGAATGAAAAGCACACTGTTCTTTCTAAGCAATGATGCATCAGCAACCACGATAACTCACAGATGACTGAGCTTTAGCGCCAGACAAAACAATAGAAGAGAAAAGGAACTGCTTAGATAGACGTGAACTGGAATCTCCCGGTTGCACAGTCGCTTTCCCTATCGACGAATAACTAAGACGCCCTGGCTGTACTTGTTTCTTGAACGGAAGGAAATCTGCAGCAATTGGGGAAGTTGCTTTATCTTTTTCCCCCCTTTTCTGCCCTTCCTCCCATTATCATTTTATGTAGGATGCCCTGCAAATTGGCAATAAATATTTCAATTTGATGCAACAATGTCATATTTCTTTTAGTGGGATAAAAATTAGAACCATGTAAATAAAGACTTTTTTTTCCTACCCGGACTAGATTTCATATTAAGAACTGAAAAAGCAAAAGAGCTATTTCTCTCCCTTAAATGTTATATATCCGCTGTCTCCTCTAAGTCTGGATGAAAATCCTGTTATATAGGTTAGGAGACTGTAAAGGCTCAAGCCTTATCTGTAAGAGAACAGAAACTTCTCACATGTCTACAGTTCAAGGAGACTTAAAAGTCTGTGGCTGACACCATCAGAAGAGTACCATGGGTATCCGCTGACTGGATTGTCAAGTTAAAACTCTTTTGCAATGGGAAGAGGAGCTAGGTGGTGAGGGTAGAATGTTATCAAATCAAATTTGAGAAATTTATTGAGGCCAACTCAGTTGTCCACTCTCATACTAATTGTTACGATTTTGCTTTTCAGTGTGTATGTACAGAGAACCATCACTACATGAAATTGGAGAAAAACAAGGGCGCTCAAGGAAAAGTTCTGGAACACCAACCATGAATGGAGGCAAAGTCGTGAATCAAGAATCCACATAGCTGAGAACTCTTTCCTTCTTCCCTTTCGCGTCCTTTCCCTTTCTTTCCCTCCCCTGTACCCATTCCCTTCCAATAAATCCACCCAAGAGAGGAAAAAAAAATGACAACGCAGGACCTAGTGGCTAAGATTCTGCTCTCAAAATCTTCCTTTGTGTAGGACGAGAAAATGAACCCAAAGCTTGCCTGTTGCGATGTGGTAGGAAGTGTACATGCACAAAAATTAGCACACAAAAAGCAAAGGAAAAAATAAATAAATCAGGACTCCACAAGCATTTTCAAGTCAACTGGTCTGTTATTAACTGAGGGCTAACTGTAACAAAGATATAACTATAACAAAGATGAAATAAAGTTATTATCTTCAATAAAAGGCTTTTGGAGAACTGACCTTACCAATCGATGTAATACCCTGAACAGCTTAAACTCTGGATAGTGTTGTGATATGTGGCTTTGTTTTATTTTGTATTTTCTTTGGGCCTCTGCAAATTGACACATAATTATATCCTATGGCTAGGATCTTTTTTTCCTTGAAATTGAACACGTATGAATTATAGAATTTTCTAATGCCTCTAAGGCATATATGTAACCTGGAACCATTTAAGACCAAGAAAAGTTTTAAAAAATGATTCTTGAAGCTGTTATTTTTGTTTTCTGCAAAAGGATAGTCTCATATTGAATCTAATGGTATTAGCAGATTTTATACCTTCGTAAAAGCAGTTTCAGATCCTCCTAGTAGAATACCTATCCTATTTTCATCAAAGCTTTTCATCCAGGATCTCTGTTTTTTAGCAGTTCAGGAGAAAGAGTTCTGTTCTAAGGCTAAAGTAACTTTTGGGGTTCTGTGTTGCTGCCATGTCCAGGCAGCGAGGTACAAGCTACTTGCTCTTACCGTTTAGTCTGACCTATTGCTTTGTGGACACCTTTGAGAGTATAGTGCATGTCTAGCTGTCTCAGAGGGTTTTCCACCATCTTTTGTAGCAGGAAAGAAGGAAGAGGCCTTTTACACAAGGTAATTAGTCCAAGAAAATTGAGGAAAGCAAATTGCATTTGCCTTTCTACCTTACCAGTGGTTTATGTCTACAGCATTTTCCAAACTTTGCCAATAAATGGGGAGGCACGGCTGTGAAATTCCTTACGAAGCCAGTGCCTTGCTTGTTGCTATACGTCCTCATTTATGAATCTAGTTGACAATATGTCTGTCTTCTAGAACACTGGAAGTTACTAGTAATGCATTGAATTTTCAGAGGACATAGCAAAATAATATGGAATTAACAGCTGTGGCTCCAACAGGCAGAATTGAGCGAAGGGCCTAAAGAAGCGAAAAAGAACTCAGTGTAAGAGCAGCCAGTGAATAGCTAGGAATGCTGAAGTGTTAGAAAAATATTAGGGAATATATGAATTGCCTTGGAACAAATAGATTTACGTAGTCCTACAAATCAGGAATGGTGTAGAGACATCCAAATTCCAACCAAACCAAACACAACAGAATGCTAAAAAATGTATGCAGATTTATGGGTATTATCAATAAGAAGACTTAGCATGTAACTTCTCCTATAGCTCTACTGTTCAGCATGTACTGTTCCAAATATGACTCCATAAAATATATACACTTTGCAAAAGCTCTAAACCCTCACATCAATGACCTTGCCATTGGTTACTGTATCTTTCAAGGTCACCATTTCCCTCACTCTTACACAATCATTATTCTTCAATAGTGGTTCGTATCCTTCACCAAGTATCCTATTTATGTTATTAGGAGGTTAGCAGAAAATGAAATAGAGGAATTTGTCTAAGCAGTTGCTAAGAACAAAAATTATGCACCTAGACCAGGATTTTGAACACGGAGTTGCAAGAGAGATTTGTTTAGTCAAAATTTTGGAAGCTAACAAATAATTTCAATAAACTAACATTTAAATTTTTAAAAAAGGAACGTTGCTCTTCAAGGCAATGACTACCCTTGTAAAAAAATAATAATAATAATACAAATCTGGCCCTATTTCTCCTTGTCCATCTTGATTCAGCTAGATTAAAAATGGACGTGTCACTCCCAGGACCAAACACATTCCAAGCACAAAACCTGATTTTCACTGCAAAAATTAAAAAGAGGCTTCTACAAAATGGTCATAGGATCTTTTCGCATGGAGTAACTTGAGCTTTTGTGGTGATACAGACACACGTGCACATACACACTCATGAAAAACACAGCTGATATTCTCAAAAAGTGTTAGCAATTACATTGATGAGTTCGTAACAGAATACGTTAAATCCAGTTAATCATGAAAACATGATAGAGGTATGCATCTGCAACCAAACTCCCCACCCTTATTTTCAATGGCGGTCCATCTGTTGGTATCTAGACTTAAATGTGTCTTCTTCCTGAGAACAGTTGAGAAACAGAGAATTTGTGGGTTTTGCTCATATTATGTTATATAAATATTCACCACAGTAAAATGTTTTGTAAATTTGCTTTATCTTATTTCCAATTCATTTCAGAAATGGAATTGGAAACCTCATTACTTCTTTTACACACCAAGCTGATAAACATTGTGGTTTAGAGCAAAGGGTGAATATTTGCTTAACTGCTGCTTCCTTTTGAAGCACATAAAAATCTTTACTAGAAAAAGTCAGTATTCACTGTCTAGGTTTTAAGAATATTAGTACATGTAAGTATATAATTGTCTCATTTCTTCCAAAAATATGATAGTTTAAATGCTTTGTTTTCCAGTTTTATCCCAAGTAACATAATTCTCTACTTTGATTTTTGTTGTTCCAATTTCTGGGTCTCCAGTTCATTCATTGTTTATTTTCCTATAAGTGAAATGTTTTTTTGTTTTTTTTTTAATGCATTGGGATATTCTCAGGAACAAATATGGATTTTAGTAAAGCTTTGTAACTGGCTGTGTAGCTATAAGTTAAGACATGTTTATTCTATGAGTTTTTTGCAGTATGTTTTAAAATCAATGGGCTTAGGAATGAAAGCAAAACCTTTGAGAGTTCCAGAAAATAGTTTTCTGGCCAATACACCTTGCTTGATTGTTAAGCTACAAGTCTGGGGCTTAGAAATAAAATGGCGCTGAAATTCCATTTGCTATTTCAGAGATTTTCATGCTTCAGGAGACGGGAGGACAGCGAGCCAGCTAACTCTTGGGCACAGCAATAGTTTGGGCTTTGAATTTTATATATCAATTTCATAGCACATTTTTAACCACTATAGACGGCACGATAAAGAGACATCAGTGTGATGCAATGGGATGCTTTATGGAGCCTCATTGAATCCTGACCGCTGGTTTAAAAGAACTCATCTATTTAAGAAAATGGCAGCACTGTAAATATATATCTAGATTGGTGGACCTGGGGTACCACTACCCAGAGATGAGCGTGTTAAAGGGTGAAGAATGACTCCATTTCTTGTTTATTGAAAATTTGGAAGTCCTAGTTTTGGAAGACTGACTTCTTGGTGAAGAAGCATGACTATATCAACAGTAATTTTTTTAAAAACACGGACCCAGAAATAGCAAATCTACTCTTCTGCCCCCATGGCTTAGTCTACAAAGCCTTGCTCTGAGAAGATTTTCCATAATGTTGCTTAATTTCGTCTGCACAGGTGAAACACATTCAAGTATAAAATTCCCTTCTCATTTTAAGACCATAAAAGGCTGAGGTTATTTCTCTGTCAGAAAAATTGTAAATAGCATTTTTTTAAATCAGAATCACATTTAAAACAGTGGATTGTTCTACAAATATATATGTGTATATATACATATGCTTCTGAAATAAGGATATATTATATAGAGTTTTTATTTGATGTGTGGTCTTCAGTCATAGATAATCCAACAATAAAGAGATTTGAATGCAAAACTTTCTATATGAATGTATATTTCTAATGATAGTACAAAATGCCACTTTATAATAAAAAAAAAGAAACAGGTGGGAATAACAATTAAAGCACATGCTCCTTCAGAATTTCAGTGATTCCGAATCCCCTTTTGGTGGAAAGAAAATTATTATTTATTTCTAACAAGTTGTTTTAAGAAGCTCTACTTCCAGTTACAGATTCCATGAACAGTCATATCAGATTGAAAATTTATGGCTGAGGGCAGGAAAAAGATGCAAAATACCAGTCTTTATTTTTCAGGATTTTTCCTGGAGCCCAAGTTTAAAATTCAATATTTAAAAACTAAATTTAGTGAAAATTTCTAATATTCAGAGATGATATATTGAGCTTCAGTAAAAAACGGAAGCAAAACGAAAAATATTGAACATTACAGAAAGCAGTAAAGTAACATCGTCATAAAAATTGCATCATTAGATGTTGTTTTCGTTGGAAAGAATGAGCTGATGTTTCTTTGTCTTTGCTCCAAGCACAATCTGATGACAGTGGCATTCATTTTACTCGAAGTTATTCCGAAAGTTCAAAATATACTCCCATGAATAGAACTGGTATTAGCTACATTACACGGTTGAATGTTACCATCTTAAGAAATTATTGACACTGAAATGTTTAATAAACATGTTGTATGAGAAACTGAACAAATTAATGTTTCCTTTTTGCTTTAAAGCACAGAATATTCTCATTGTTTTTTTGAGATCAGATTTGTAAAATGTTTATACATCACAACCTTCCTAAAGTGAAAAGCAATTAAAATCTTGAGATGCTCATGCATGTAGACAAAATACTGGCACTTTTTTTTTTACATTAAACTTGTTTGGGAAGTCTCTTTTTTTTTAGTGTGTCTATCCTATAATGTTTCGCTGAAAAAGTGCTGTGTCATGTAAAATGATCAAAGATGGTTTTACGGATGTAGAATAGGTCTTTCTTTTTTTTATTGGGCACTACAGTCAAAAGTAAAAATTACTTTCTAACTTTGAAGCCACTTGAACAATATAAATATCTCATTCTGTGGTAGAGTTGATACCTTGCTTTTCCAGGATTAAGAACTCGAGCACATTCATCCATTCTTTTATTCACAAGTTACTAACTAGAGGCTGGGGTGAGTTTAGAGACCATAAACTAAGTCACAGTCTCAAAAAATCCGAGCAAGGCAGATGCATAACTGAATAATGTAATACCTGAGGGTATATATCATAATAGGTGTGTGATTAAGATTTTCTGTAGCGTTGATGGTTAAACAATGAAGCCCCTAGGGAAGACGGGCTTTGAAAAGGGAAGAAAGGAATGCTATTTACTGAGGAAAAAAAAAAAAGAGAGACAACAAGGGCCCCTTAAGTGGAGG